AGCGATGGCCTCCAACCTACTCTGACTCTAGGGATGGCCTCCAACCTGCTCTAGCGGTGCCTCCAACCTACTCCAGCGATGGCCTTCAACCTACTATAGGCACGGTCTCTAACCTACTCTAGCGATGGCCTCCAACCTATTACAGTGATGACCTCCAACCTACTAGCGATGGCCCGGCCCTAGTAGCGATGCCTTTCAACCTAGCGATGGTCTCAAACAAAGTAATCAAAGAGCACTTGAGAGAACACTCCTGTTTCGGATTCCAAAGCCAGACTGAAGTGTGCGTGTTTGCTGCCTGACTTGGTGCTTTTGAAGGTACCGACCTCAGCACCAGGATCACCAGGTCGGGAAGATGCGAATTAGAGGGTTTAAAAGGTCATGCAATTGCTTTGGACATATAAACGTGGAATGGTCTCAAGAAAGCAGAACGCTGCTAGTTTGTGAGACTCACCAACTTACGTTTCGAATGTTTTTTCTTGCAAATGCTTCATGTTGAAGCTGAAACTCAGCAGAACACTTGCATACAAGCTTAGAGGAGGATTGGGATGGTCAAGCTATGCAAGAGCAGAACAGATGGCGTGTCTTGGCCAATGGAAGAAGTATAGCTACAACTCCTTTGGCTAAGCCAAGGCGTGTCGGGTCTCGGGAGTGTCGATTCAGCTCTGCGTGGGTGCATTGTATGTATCCCCCAAGGGTAAGGTAGCCAACCCATGCCTAGTCAAGGTTTTGGCTTGGAGGTTCTGTATACTTGGTGTGTTACCTTGTGCAAGAACGTTCTTGCTCACCCAGGTCACTTGGCTCCACTTGCAGCAGCTGTGGCTTTACTGCTCATTGTCCCGGTCCCATGTCAATAGTGTTTTCTACTGTATTGAGTTGTGGAATGCCATGCACAATGGGCCATACTTGAGTCGTATTTCAGCCGTTTGTTGCTTTCTGACAAGGTCTGGCCTGTTGCTGCAGATGCGCAGACAGCAGGCGCATTTGTGGTGACAAACATTAATATTCGATGCTTTGGATTTGCAGAGTCTTGTTTTTTTACGGCAAAGGTTGCGACAAGAGTTGCGAAAGAAGTCAACGTGAGTGGAATAACCAATAAATTGACTCGAAATCAAGACAGGTGCTCCTGACATGAGCGCCATCTGGCAGAAGGCCTATTGGGTGAGTTGGTTTGAATGAAAAGGAACATTCATATTCAGTCGTGAAACTCTGAATGCTTCCTGGGTAAGACTCTTGCTTGTCTTTGTTGTAAGGGTGCTAGCACATGCAATGTACTTCAAATGACTGGACGCAAGGTGCAGACTGCTGCAGATTGGCATATATATCTTGCATATCAGTAAACATGGAGGTTTCATGAGGTTTCTTACCCGTTGTGAGGCGTTGAACAGTGCAGCCAAAGGCGGTGCTGCTGGACTATTTGCAGGTGTGCTGCAGGCAGCATCGGATTTTTGAGAGAACATACAGTTGCATTGCACATGAATCGATCGGTGAGGACTGCGAATGCTAAGGGGCTAAGCAAATGCTTCGCTCAGCTTTGCAGTTTGCTCTTCAGGTGCTTAGCTTCATGTGGCTGAGAACGGTGAGGAGCTAAGTGAAGGAACTCCGGTTGGCTTAGCCCTAAGTAGCGTTCTTGCTCCTAGTAGCGAGGCCAGGAGCCCCGAGTAGCATTCTTGTTCCTAGTAGTAAGGCCAGGAGCCCCTAGTAGCGTCCTTGCTGCTAAATTGCTAAACATAAAGTACCAATGATGAGTGATGCACCAACCTCTTCAGCGGTGTTCAATTCCGATGCTCCTGACTCTTGCCGAAAGATGTTTGCACATTTTACATTGGTATGTGTTAGTGTTAGAACTGAGGCCATGAATTATCAGTATGCGTCAGGCGGCAGCGTGACTCTCAGACTGAGAGTTGAAGACACGACACTTGAGTCAGCGAGACGTGCCCTGCCATGATGCCATGACACATTTGCCATGTGGCATTAGTTACAATCGAGTGGGCAGAGATGCAATCCAAATACGTCCAAAATAGACAGCGTCGGTTTGTCGCCGGGGATGCCCAGGTTTGTCAACGGCGCTTAGCCAGGGTCCTTGGCGGTCTGAAGGGCGGTGAGGTGCCACAAGGTGACATGCCATGAAGCCGGATACCAGGCACTGGCCTGTTTGGAAGAATCATGTCAGTTTTGAGTAAAATCATTTAAGGCATTGAGTTAGAAGGGATTTAGTTGGAAGAACCTCGTTACCTTGTCTCTTCCGTGTGCCTGTGGGTCAAGACCGTCAAGATGTAAGGTAGCTGCAACTAACTCGCAGTGTCAGAAGATCGAGAGACCAGCTTTTGCAGTCAACGAACCCAAATACACAAACACGCAACCACTTGTGGTTTCTCCATGGTGAGTTCCTCATGTGCTCCTCGGACCAAACACATTCTTCATAGTTTGAAATTTAAGTGAAAATAGCTGTGGGAGCTCCAGGGGTTATTGGTTCTGCTTTGGAACTGAAGACACCCGAGCGACTTTGTCATGTCGCATGATCGCTTCTGCACCATGGCCATCTCATGACGGGCCACCTGAAGAGGTTGGATTCTTGGTTTCGATCTCAAACTGCCGCCAAGTTGCCGTGTTTGTTCATAAACTTTATGCAGAGATGAGATGATGTTCTCCAACTGCTTGACTTGGGAGTTGGTGTGGCTCCATTTGGTCCTTTCATCTCGTTCTTGAGATTCAACTTGATTCACAGGCATCGAAGATTGGCCCAAACAGGTTGCTCAAGGTGAAGGGGTAGGGATGTTGTTTGTTCCACTCTCCTCTATTTTGTCACTTCCTTTCTTTGAGCTGAAATGTTTCGGCTGCTTTGAATGCTGTGGATGTCTTTCTGCTGTGCTGAGAAGGTCCAAGTGGAGCTACTACTGGGATGAACCATGGCCAAAGCAGTGCAAAAAATCACATTGGTCCCGGCAAGGTGCGGTCAAGACAGTCAGATCTGAATCAAGGCTGAAAGCAAGACACCAAGAACAGCCTTCCTTAAACATTGTGCATTTCAAGATGGTGAAGGTCGGCGCGGCCGTGACTTCCTCGTTGCGGCGACGTGCAAGCTGCGGGAGGACAGGCTGCGTCTTGTTCCGATTTCGTCACATTCCCTTGCTGGACATGTCGATCAAAAGATCCTCTGCCTGGCCGCATCTTAAAGCCGCAGTGTGGTCAACGTAAGAAGAATTGCCTGGCTTTGTCGTGCTCTTATTTTCAAGGTGCTGCACTGTTGCCGATAATTACTGCTGCACACAGTCTCAACCGCTGAGCGGGCCATGTTCCAGAAAGCACCAGAGCTATTGCGCTTGGCCTGGCCATCAGTTGGCTCCTTAATCTTGGACCAGGACTGAGGGTCATGTGCGATACATACAGACGGTTTAGGTGGAGGAACCGTAATGGTCAAGGACCAATAGAATGAAGAACGGAGCATCCTCAAGAGGAAAAAGAGAGGAGAAAAGAAGATAAGGGATAAGGGCCTTGGTTCATCCTGGGGCAGGCTGCAGGGCTCACGACAATTTTCTTCGTTGCCGCACTCGATGACAAGTATTTGTTGGGCTCAGTGCTTTGGTCTAAAGTCTAAACATTCTTGAGTTTACCTCTGCAAGAAGCCATGCGACCGTAATTTGTGTAGAACGGAATCCTCTTCCAGGTTGGCCTTGGATCCATGGCACAAAACGTTTTTGGATTCAGCTTCTTTTCTGCACAAAGTCAAGTCTGTCGGCCCGAGATTATAACTGTGTGAGTGACCAGACCCTTCTATACTGATTCACCATACAACATACATATACATGGATGGATGGATAGATAGATGCCATACATATGTATATCACGAAAGGCAAGGCTTGAGGTTCCAATACGAACGAAGTGAGGTGTGTGGGGGGGGTGGTTGCGAGAGGGGCAATCTTGGAGAGGCTGACCTAGATCCTGGTGGGGGAGAGCGAAAAAAAGAGGTGGCCAGGAGGCAGTGGAAATGAGTAGTTTTTTGGAGTGTTGTGATGCAAGTGATGTAATTGACGGCGAGCTGTGCATCATTAGCATCACGAGGGAGTCAGGAGGCCATGTGAACTGTCTTTGCTTCGGGTGGGAGTGCACGTCGATGAGAGGAAAGGGAAGATAAGGGGCTGTGAGAAGCGGCTGGAACTCACCCTATAGTTGAGAGCAGGAAAGAGAACAGATGGCAGCTGCGGGCAAACTTAGCGTTGCTTGCGGGCGCCCTTTTTAGTTGCCAGACTGAAGAGGGCACTCCCTATGCGGTGGGAGTTCACGTGGATGAGGCAGGAAGGTTTTGTTTAGGGCAGGAGAGACAACAGATTGCAGCGGGCAAGCGTTGGAGACCGCCCCTCACTTCCTTTGGGGTGCCCTTTTTCATCTCCAAAGGGACGCTGAACCACAGGTACGCTTTGCTCTTTTCACCCATCAGTTCATCTTGCACTCTCAAAGGCTGCAATATCAATTTCACCACTTCCGGCTACTCTTTCTCCACTACCTATATACATATACGTTTCCTCCCGAAAGCCTGCCAATAACCTCACCCTTCGACCCCCCATAACCAGCTTTGCTGATGATTGGCACCACACAGGAAGCTACCACGCCTCACTTCCTTTGGGGTGCCCTTCTTCACCTACAAAACGACCCTATACCACGACGAAGCAGGGCACCCCCCCAAACCTGTGTCTTATACTTTCTCTTTCTACCTCCTGTCAGAGTGGCTCCGGTGTCAACTTCACCACCTCAACGTATGCTTTGCCCGATGTTAGCCAATCACTTCATCTCACGCGCTCCAATGGCTGCAGTATCAACTTCATTACTTCCAGCTGCCAGGCTAGCCCTAAGGGCACCCCCCTTGACGCAAAGGCTGGCTTTCGTTTTTTTCCAGGTATATACTGTATATATATATATACATACACACACAAAGTTTAGTTCTTGTTGTCAAGATATGATGAGATGAAACCCATCCACATCCCTACATTTTGGCAAAAAGATGTAGAGCCGTGAAATTCCAACGACCAAGGCTTGGGAATTGGTGTGAATAGTGCCTTGAACACTTTGGTCTCCCAGAGCAAAGGCTGAACTCTTAGAGTGGAGCGCAGGGTTTTCACTTGGTCGTGCAGCTATGCCTTGGACACATTTTTTTGTTTGCTTCAGATGTTTCAGGAACCGCTGCCCTAATTTTGTAAGTGTGCTTTTTGCTAAGGTGCCGGACGTTTGGACTTGTGCTGCATATCGTTGCAACAGGCGCAAGTCTTATGTATTCTGGTGGCCTTTCCAAGCACCTCGGAAAAGTGTTCGTTAGTGAAGTGATGGTGTTCTTCTCAGGCTGTATTGTTTTGCCTCCTTATGATCAAAGGCATGCTGCTCATGTGGCGCGCTGACGCACTATTTCGTGCAGTTGGCATCAATCCGCGCACTGCCCAGGACACCGGTTCTCCTCGAAAGTCATTTGACAATTTTGGGGGTATGATGAGCTTCCAACCAGCAAGAGCACCACAATCATTTTGCCGAGGATGCTGGACTGTATGTGCGTGGGACTATTTTTGTTATGCCCTTCCATTTCTTGGCTTGTGCTACCCGCTCCTTTCTTCGAGCTATGCAATTGCCGCGGCCAATATTTTTAGTCAGCACTGTGGTGGTGATTTGCCATCCTTTGTGGTGCTTTCTACTTATACACCGTTGGGAGAAGGCGGTGCATTTTGACTATAAGATGATTGATTTCTTTAACTGTTTCTTTTGATTGCAGTCCTGCCTCTTGAATGTCAATCCTGAAAGGGTGCCTTTGGTGCTGGTCTGACGGTCACGCTCTCCTACGGCCTGAACTTCCTGTGTCCTGGCATGGTGCAACGGTGCAAGGGATTGGGTAGTCGTTTTTACTTCTTTCCGGTTGCGATCAACAGTGTTTGGTCTGTGGCAGCGTGCAGGCTTTTGACTAGCTATGTGGCCATTGTTAGGCCCGGACCATGCAAGGAGGCAGGGTGGGGCCGAACAGGTGTAGCAGATTGTGACAGTGGCCGGGCTGTGATCCTTGTTGAATGGGTACCCCTCATGCTAAATGTTCATGTTGCATTGGATTCGGTACAACGACATGATGGTTTTTTGTCACCTCAAGATGCAAGCAACTTTGCAATCTCGGCCCGTTGGTAAAGTTTCAAGACCTTGGAGCTTATCCAAAGTCATGAAGAAGGAATGAAGAGGCAAGGTCTTTGGCTTGCTTTCCAACAGCAGGCCTGGCGGATTTTGCCTTTGGAACTCCTTTCTCAGAAGTGCAGGTGCGCTTCGTCGCTTTATGTTCTTATTGCCTTGATTGTCGGTCCTGTCGTCATTTGATGCGTTTGGATATGAGATGATTTGTCGCCTCTAAAACCAAGTTGAATATGATCTGGTGTCTCTAGAGGCAAAGTTGAAAGCTTGTGCAGTTCCTTTGCAACATGTCAGAGTCTTGCTTCGAAGCTTGCAGGCGCACAGGCGTGTCCGACTGCGACAATTCGAGCTTTGCAGCTTACCTCCGAGTGGCGTTGCCCTCAGCCGTGCTGATGTGGGCAGAGTGGTGGGCCTACGAAGCAATGAGCCTCCTGGCAGGTGCAACTCTAGAATTAACATTGCTTTGTGAAGAGGCTTTGTTGTGTACAGCGAACAAACATGTGCAAAAGACAATTTTGCAAAGCTCGTAATTATAAGTGGAGAGGCCTTTGCGGCAAGACCGGCCTTGCAGCACACACTGCTGCTTGCAGCGTGCTGCTCATCGTCTTTCAGTTGCCCACCGGCCTAGGGAATGCGACATCAGCCATGGTAGGCCATGCGATCGGTGCAGGTGCCATGGGTTCTGGAGATTGAAGGTCGTCCAGTGGAAGTCTTCGTCGGCTAGTCATTCTTACAAGACATGCTATCAATAGATGAGCAACTCAATGAGGCAAACGTTACAGAGCATTGTGCAGTGCAACCGGCCTCCGATTTCTGTGATTCTTCAAGAAGTTTGGCGTTTTCACAGAACACATGTTTGCCAGGGCCAGGTGATGTTCAGTGAAGGTGTTGTAATTTTTTTGACAAGCACCATGCAAACTTAATTAGTAGCAGCTTGATGCCGATATTTTTTGTTCTAAGCTGCAACAAAGTTGATTGCAACGTTGCCCAGCACTGGTGGAGGCAGCAGCACAGATGCCAAATCTTCGTTGAAGGTGGCTGTGATGTTGATCCTTTCGTTTCCTGGCTTGAGTGCGACCTTTGCAAAGCGACAAGACAAACTGGATTTGAACACTTGCTTGCTTCCTTTTTGAGAGGGCGTATGGTGCCTGTTCCTTGTAAGTTTGACTTCTGCTGATGTTCTAAGTGGTGATGTTTGGAATCCATTGAATGCAGTCCAACAGTCTTGAGTTTACATTGGAATGCATGCAAGTCATGTTTGATGGAGCTCAAATGACTGAGGACATGTTTGCTGGTTGCGGTCATTTTGATCCCCAGCCGCTTTTTCATTGCACGCCTCTACACATCCGATCCAGATGTGCTCAGTACTTTGGAGCTCCTTTGTGTGATACTAGGCGGGATGGTATCATTGATATACAGAAACTCAAGCTGAAGTGGACAGTTTAAGACAGAAGGGATTGAATTTAACAGTCTATTTGTCTGTCTGTCTGTCTATCTACCTATCTATCTCAATACAATATAATGATTCAAGACATAAGCTGGAAGGTCTTTTTCAGCTCTTTGATGGGTTGCAGACTGTTTTGGAGAGTGGCCTTATTGGGCTGGGCATGCAGAAGGCAGCGAGTCGAATCAAGCTTTTGACTATGCTAGTGGTAAGACTCGGTGGAGCCTATGTCTCTCTGACGCAAGAACAAGTATGCATGTCTGTATGTCCAACTCCGGCCATAGAAGACAGGTCTGACCCGTTTACTTTCCAGTTTAGTATGTATTTGTTGAAAACGCGCAATGGAGAATAGACGGTAGAAGTAGATTCTTTCTGGCTTGCCCTTCGAGCAAAGTAATGGCTCGATGTGTGATGAGGTCCTTTCCTTGCCTTTGGCCAGTGGTGTGGTTGGCATTTGGGTGGCTGGAGTGGTTGGCATGATGGTGACAGACACATGGATACATTGGCAGTTGTTTCTTTTGCGCCTGAAATGTTTCAGGCCAGCTTTGAGGAAATAGCGCTCTGGTTTCTCGAACTCAACTGGCAGGTTTCTCTCAGTTCTTGAAGGCAACGACTCGTCACTATATACACAGTCACTAAGTCCATCAGCCTTTTGAAGTAGTCCTGAGAAACCCTTCAAGAGGCTCATGGACTTACCCACAAGCCCTCCTGCATACCGCGGTTAGTGGAGCATTGGAAGTTACCTACCTTCCGAAACCAGCACAGAAACTAACAGACCACCTCCAAAACCATCTTCCAAGCCAGACCAGGCAAGAGCGGTTTCCATGATAGTTCCAGTCAAGGTTCAATAAACAAAGCTTGCATGCTTGATTGTAGCTTGTCATGCCTTCCCGCAAGCTGCCCCTTCACGACGACTCAGGTCGCCCTCTACCTGTGCCTTCTGCGCCGCTGCAACTTTGAGTATTTGGCCTCATCCGTGCAAAGGGAGCTCATGTCGGCTTGACCTGGTCCTAGTGTTTCCCACGCATTTGCGGATGGCTTATCCTGGAGCACGTCCTCCATTCACCCTTTGAAGAACATGCCATGTCATGTAAGAGCCAAGATGATTCTTGTATATAATTGTAATCGGACCACTTGTCCGTGGCGTTCAAGGTGGCTTGACACCCTACTCGTAGGCTGATGCGATTTCCTGAAGTGTCGGCCAGTTCAGCCCACCCACTGACCTTGGTGCGGCTGGTGGTGAGATGTTTGCAACCCAAGATTCAGCTGACCACAATTTTTGTACGTTTTGGAGCGAGCTGTCTCCTTACTGAGACACTGGGTGTTTGAGAGAGAGCTGCTACCTTGCGTGGCCAGACATCCTCGTAGAAAAGGAGATGGTGCCTGCTGCCAGGAGCTATACACCAACACTTTGAAGAGTCCAAGCCTGCAGACTTAGAGGAATACACCAGACAGAGCATGATTCCCAGAAGAATGCCTGGCATCAAATCTCCTATATAGATGACCACGAAGCACTCTGTGCGGTGGCTGCGTGCATGCCCTATTTGGACGAGCAACAACTTGTGGAGAACAACAACAAATCCAGCAAAAGTCAAAAGAGGCTCCGTGCGTGAACTGGCCCTTGCCGGACATGCTCTCCTTCGCGATGGTGGGTGTTTTCCCTTGCGGAGATTTGATTTGACTCATAGGAGTCAACAACGCAGAATAAGTCCCTTCCATTGACAAGTTCAAGTATGGGAGCAGCAAGATGCTTCCAGTGGCTTAGCTGGCTTGTACCTTTTTATTTTTGATGTTTTGTTTTCTTACATCATTTTTTCTTCCTTGGCAGTGGAAGAGAAGCCAGCAGTGAAGGTCAGCCACTCGAGGATTTTTCGCAGGCCTTGGAGCTGGGAAGGCCTTGAGCCCGCAGCGAGCTGGACACCAATCATCGCTTCAATCAGCTTGAAAAGAGTGCGGCAACATACGTTGTACATCATACCTTTGAATTGGCTGTTTGCTCAACTGTCCTGCCGGCTTGCCTAGTCAATAAACATATTCTCACGGCAACTGCTAAGAACTTGTAGGAGCCCAGTTGCACCGAGCAGAACGATGCATTCCTGCAGCGGTACGGTGGTCGTTTGCTGGGTGGTGCAGAGACTGAAGGTGCTTGTCTTGCAGGAGGTTTTCCCACCATTCCAAAGTTGATTCTCGGCTTGGCAGGTAGCTGATGTGGCGAACCCGAAATCAGGATTTTTATTATGAGTTTCCAGTGGCGAGCTGCAAAGAATTTTCTCAAGTCTCCGGCCTCGCAGGTGCAGAGCTGGATTCTCAGCGTTTGACCCCTGTGCTCTTTGCAAATTGCCTTGTCATAGGCGCGTGCAGTGATCGCTGTAGATGCATGATCACCAGTCGAAATTCACTAGGAGTCCTTCTTGGCATGCTGTGACCTTTTGCCCGTCTGTCTATTTACAAAGCGCTCATCTCATAGCACTTGTTGACTCACTGGAGCATGTTGGCTGCAGAAGCCACTGCCGGCGCGAGGCCTCTCTGCGGCGTTGACAGGCTATGACCATGGTGCAGCTAGTGGCGCCCTGCAGAATCTGGTGGCCTTGAAAGGCAGCACTCTCAGAGAATTCAGCGAAACATCTCGCCGAAACTTATTCTTTTAAAACAAGTCTAAGACATCTCCTGGCATTTTTCGTCAAGTCTCAGAGAGTTTCTTGGTCAATGCTTACTGGACAAAGCAGACTAAAGTAATCACTGGTCAAAGTGAGTTTGGACTTGTTCCAGGTTTGAGGCGACAAAGGCGCTTTGGACCACTTTTGCAGGGATGGGCCAGGACCTTTGCCTGCTGCTGTTTGATTTGGCTTGAGTATGCATTACATGGCTGCAGATACATGTAGATTGCATGTTCTTGGCTTTGAACCACTAGCATGTTTTGCCTTGAGGTTGTAGCTTCTGCTTGGGTCAGCAACATCATTGGAAACTTGAGTGGCTACTACATGCCTACCCCACGTATTGCACCTTGGCATTTTGTGGCTGTGCAGGTGGCTTTCTTTTTTTCATTTTCAATCTGTTTTAGTTGCCAGTTGTTCGTTTCGTTTTTCCAGTTTAAACCGGCTTCTTTTTGGTCTTCGAACCTTTTGGAGCCTATTCAATCCTCTTCAAACCTCTGAACAAGGCACTGATCGTGGCAGGGCTCCTGGAGATGCTTGGCAGTCTTCTCACTGGCTTTGCTCCAACTTTGTGGGTTCTGATTCTGGGACGTGCCTTGGAAAGGGAAGAACTGAGTTGTGGGAAAAATGGGACAATAGATTGGTATCCTGTTATAATGCCACACTGTGAAGGGCCCTAAGGGTGTAGATGATTGAGCAAATCGACTAAAAAATCATTTGCAGAGCTGCTAACTTTGGTGAGCGGGTGTGGCTGCCTCTAGGCTTGGTGAATGGCTTCGGGCTGGGCCTCAACGGAGTAGCAGTCGCGCAATATGTCAGCGAAGTTGCTCCTCCACATGCCAGAGGCTTTACCGGTTGGCTTTCATCAACAGGTGTCAAGACGTGTATGCCCTGATGGTTGTTGTTGCAGCAACAAATCGTTGGCATGCCGTTGTCACAGCACATATATATATATATGTATGTGTATGTATTAATACATATACCACCATGCAGAACGAGAGACTTGCAATGCAAGCTTCGAGGAGATGAGATGTTAGGAATAGTACTATGTATACTATACAGTATATGTATATATGTAGATTGTAGATTGTCGTAAACTTGTGCCAGATCTTTCTCTGCACATCCTTAGCATGCTTTCACCTTTGCTGTCAAAGTTATTCAGCAACTCGCTGTTTACTTCAGGGGGAGCCATCGCAGTTCAAGAGACGACCTTTGTGTCCGGTGCCTTCATAGGAGCGTTAGTGGGCCCAGCCCTCAGGCACATCTCTTGTATTTGGACCTTCAGTGGATATCAGTTGAGTTCAGTGGATGTATCATGACGTAGCCCTATTGTCACAGTTGCTCTCATTGTCCTGAATAGTTCCTGCGCATGCTTTGATTTGTGCGCTCTAAGGCCAGCACTTCCTGCGCATTCGTCATGGGTGGCGCACGATTTGGGGTCTTGCAGCCTTCTTTGGTGGCCTAGCCACAGTCACTATGCTGCGAATGCCTGATACACCCAGGCCTTTGGTGGGTTGAGGAACAATTCAGGCTGTTGCATTGGGCGATTCCGCTTAATTAGTCGCCCCAGCCAAACCTCTAAAAATCTGCAGGAGTCAAGTGACGAGTCAAATTCCAGGTCCATCTACCGACGTGCGGCGCGGATGGCTGCAGCTGAGACCTCACAGACGCCGGAGGCTGCACAGAGGCACTTGCTGCAAGTGCTTGAGGCCTGAATGTGCGTATGCTTTTGCTGTGGCAATGCAACAAAAATTTGTCTATGGTGTAATGGTTTGAGATAGAATCTAAGAACATGTATTTACTCTTCAAGATGATGCAGTGAAGCCAACAGAGGGCAACATTTAACGAAGTTGGCCTTTGAATTGAACAAGATGTGCACTTGTGTGTGTGGCTTCAGTGTCAGGAAGCTCGCAGAGAGGCAATGAGTATTTTGGCTTGAAATTCGGAAGGCAGTGCTGAGGTGTTCACAACTGCTGATTCCTCTCAAAAAGGCAACCTTACTGTACTGGAAACTGCTTGATAATTTACATTTTCTTCAAGCTTTCGTTTGCTGGAATGTTTTAGCTGCTGTGGAATGTAAATTGATAAGACATTTGAGCGTACAGTTTATGATGTTGACATCCGACGGATTGCTTTGTCTGTTGCATTTGAGGCACTATGTGCCAGCTCCGTGGTATTGAGTTTCCGGACCAGGCGATGCTTTCTGAGCTTGAGGGCATCGAGCGAACGCCCGGAGACCTGGAGGGTTTTGTAGGAAAACCATGAGGCCTTTAAACTGCTTTCTGGATTTCGCCAACCGCACCAATGCGGATATTCGGACCCTCAGCTTGAGGGTCTACTTAGTCTACTTTGGTTTGTTTCCAACAGCTGATGTGGGTGTGGGTCAAAACTGGGGGACCATGGTTGACCACCGAAAACGATCAGAACCTACTGGGGTTTGGAGCTCCAGGTTTTGACCATGACCATGTAGGCGGATGTTTCCGTTGGTAAAGAGAGGAGAATGTTCGTTTCTGCTACTACGCCTCCCTTATCATGCACTCAACCAATGGAGGGAGCTGAGGTAGCTCTGGTAGCTGAGTCGGTGACACATCGGGCCATGTACACAACCTGCAATCAAAGTATGGGAGGCCAAATTAGTATTGCAAAGGCCAGAGGGACATTAACTGAATTAACCTTGGAGTAACTCTCCGAATAATTCGGACTCAAATAAGTTTTGCAACCCTTTGACCGGGTTGGAACGGCCGCACGGAATAGTTTTCTTCAAAGCCAGTGAAGGGTGGAATAGTCTTGGCAGCTTGGAGTAGATGTTGGAATATGTTGACTTTCTGTGCTGGTGGCGGAGGGAAGCACAATATTGACAGCCCTTGTTTTGACAAGCAACAACAAAGCTTTATCCAAATCCAAGAAAGACCTTCAAGACAAGCAAGTTCCGTGAATGAGCATTTAGAGTATCGCGCTTGGTTTTGGCTTGGGGGCTTGGATTTGCTTGGAACAGAATGTCATTTTTTTGCGAATACCGTAGTTATATTAAAGAGGTGGAGAAGTTGAACGGCCTTGGAGAAGTCGGATTCAATGGGTGGAAATTATACAGCAGGGTAGCAGGGTTGGAGCCCAGTTTTCTTGTTTTTGTCGAACACTTTCGATTCTGCGGGGCAGTAATTTGGATTGGCATCGACATGATCATTCTTTTCCCCTATTAAAGGGATTTTGAAGGTTGCAGTACCTTCTCGAAGGAAGCTTCCTTGGGAATCGTTTCACTGGGAATCGTTTCACCTGTAGCAACAAGAAGCTTTTTAGTACATATATTTTTGAAGCTTCTTAAAAAGGCAAAAGCTTTCTAGTAACTAGAAGCTACTAGGTGGAGGCCATCGCTACTAGTAAGAGAAATACTTTTAATCATGCCGGTGCAACAGTGATCTATTTCTTGCTTGTGACAGGCAGCTTGAGGGTACCATGTCGGCTGAGAGTGTTTCGGTTCATTCAAACCGTCGAGGTATGTCTCTGAGCTGAACTTGCTGGGGCGAGCAGCTTCCTCCGAAGGGGCTCAGGCGGGTACAGCTGGCTTTGTGGTTTGTTGTTGGTTTGCCGGGCCAGTAATTGTCAACGTCGTGTCATACAAAGTATGCTTCGGGCTTCGAGTCCATTTTTTTGCTTTTGCTTCCATTTTTGACATCTCAATTCTAGCAGAAAAGCACACAGGTTACAAGATGTAGCCTCGATTATCCAATTGACGAGCAAAATCTTAGGAGGAACATCGATACTCTTGTGACAACCGAATTGACACTCTTCAACTCCTTTTTGACGGCAAATTCAATTGATGCGCCAGGAATGGTGGCAAGAAGAGCTACCTTTATTGGAGATTCTCAGGACGCTTTACTGCAGAAGAGTATGAATTGGAACTGAACTCACAGATCATGCTATTTTTAGATCTATATAAGCTGGAACATGAGCAGGAAAACTGTGCAAGTTTCTTGGGACAGTACGCAGAGAGTGCGGGAAGTTGATGTTTGTCAAACCTGAAGGGGTTTGGTGCTCGGCTTTCATCTAGTGCTAGTCAGCGTGACGCCGAGGTCGCCAGTGCATTTGCGCTTGCTTCTTGCAGGGTGTGCAGCCAATGCTTTGCCGGCCCTCTCTGGCCGCTTAGCTTGAAAGCAGTGTTATCCAGTCGCTCTTGAAAGGAAGGAAACAGCTGGGGTTTGTTTCTCTCACAACGTTTGAATCTTCCAAGTCCATGCAGCGATTCTGGCATTCTCTGTGATCTCAACAAGGTTCAGAGGCTCAGATGAACTATGCTGGCCAGAAACATGGTGTGCAAAACAGTTTTGCCCTGTGTTTTGGGATAATCCAAGTGACTTTGATTTGCTATTGCAAAAACACCAGCCAACTGGCCTACTGTGAGGATGTTCCGCATGGTGGGCTTCCACTACCAGGATGCAGCGACAGCTGGTGTGGCCATGTGCCTTGCTAACACAACCATGCTTCTTTGTTTCACTTTTTTGTCAATGCCTGAACTCTTGATCAAAGCTAGTCACACATTTCATGTCCAACAACCAAAACACAAAAAACACAATTTCATTACGCACCTTGCATGGTCTTGATGTCAGCAAATGTTCGAGTTCCATTTATCGGGAAAAGCCTTAGCCGACTACATTGACCCACAGATCGTGCATAGTGGTTTCGTTAGGGAACCAAAGATGCCTTTTTCAAATCTATGTTCGAATCTGTGTTGAGCATGAGACACATTTGTGCAAGTGTCAGAGGACAGCTACTCGTAGATGTCAAAGAGCTTTTGACCCTCTCAGGTATGCACTCAAATTGGTGTGGACCTTATTCGTATGATTCACACGTGAGCTGAACGGTTTTTGTAGTGCAGAAGAGGGAAGACTCTTAGACGAAGTCTGCCAATCCTCAGAATGCACTGTGCGAAATTTCACTGTATCCAACATTGGAGTTTGCTCGGGCAGGCGATAGCAGCTCCGAGCTTCCTGTGGTTGGATGCCATTGGCCGACGAAAGTTGCTTTCCTTTGGTTTGACAGGAGCTGCTAGGCAGCACTCAAGGCGAAATCTCGACTCTAGACCAATAGTTTATGGCTTTGTCGGTCAAGAGACAAGACTGGAACGTACACAGCTAAGTGATACAAAGTGTATCATACAATGTGACTAAGTATGTTTTCCACCGCCGTCGGTGCCTTCTGGCTGAGTAAGAGCTACCAGAAGCTGAGAATACCACGACCAGCATGCCTCCGCCACCATGGTCTCAGGTCACAGCTTGCTATGGCCTGTCTGCCGTTGGTCTTGGCCTGCATAGCCGCTTGGCCAGCCTCGTGTGCATTGCCGTGTTTGGTCTCGAGATGTCTCGAGCGTTTGAATAGAGTTCTGCTTGTTTTAACTCTGAAAGTTGCCTTTGAGTTACCGAATGCATTTCTTGGTGCTGTGCTGCTGCTGCTGCGTGGTGCTGCTGGCTGCTGCTGCTGCCGCTCTGCTGCTTGCTGCTGCTGTTTGCTCCTGCTGCTGCTTGCCTGCTGGGCTGCTGCTGCCTCTGGTGCTGGTGCTGGTGCTGGTGCTGGTGCTGCTGCTGCTGCTGCTGCTGGTGCTGCTGCTGCTGCTGCTGCTGCTCGTAAGCAGCCAAGCTCTATCTAAGCTCTATACCTTTCGTCCACCTCCATAGCCGCAGGTAAAGTGGACCTTACTTTAAGTATATGTCCATACCCACTTGATCCGACTTCATTGAAATCTCGATGGTAAGCTTTGACCTCAACGACCGTAGTGCATAGAATGAAACTGCCAGTTCGACCCCCTCCCCCTGGCCTCAAGTTGCCTTTGAGTTACCGAATGCATTTTACATGTTTGCTAGTTGAGCGAGTTCCAACTTGTGACCTTGCAAACAACATGGCTCTAGTAAGCTTCAGCAGGAATCACCTTAATCAGCCTGTTCTCTCCTGAAGCTAGCAGAAATATGCAGAAACTTGATTTTTTGATCCCTTCTTGCAACTTGTTACTAGTAGTAATGTCCTTGTTACTAGTAGCGATGCACTTGTTGCTGCTTGCTGTAATTCCAGGACAATTGGTCTGGGTGAAACGAGCCTTCCCAACCGACCCAGGCCCAGGCCTTGCTGGCGCGGGGCTTTTGGCATCTCAGGATGGAATCCAAGTCAGCACAAACTGCAAAACAAGAAGCTACTAGCAACGAGATGTAACAAGTGCGTCGCTACTAGTAGCTTCTTGTTACTAGTAGTAATGCGCTTAGCTACGAGTAGCTTCTTGCTACTGGTAGCGATGCACCATGTTACCAAAGCAGCTGCTCATTTTTTTCCCTCTTATGCAAGAGTTTCCTGCCTCTGGCCCTGGAGTCATGAATAGTTGCTCAGAGGCCATCTATCAAAGCTGCGTGGGCCCAGTGACATGGATAGTAAGCTCGGAGCTCTACCCGCCACTCGGACCGACTGGGACTTATTGAAGGCTTTGTTACTAGTATTTTTATCGACGGATTTGGCAATGGACACTACTGTAGAACACGCATTGCTTGTACTCTGCGGCGGTCTCAACTGATGACGACTGACTACTGTCCCTAAAAGAGAAGCTACCAATTTGACGCATCGGAGGTCTGACATGCGTGCACGTGGTTGTGCTTTGGCTTCAGCTACTTTCTCCACCAGCACTCTCCTGTCAGTGCAGCTGCTTGAAGGACATGTGGAGGGTGTGATGGCAGATGTTTCAAGACAAGTGCTCCTCAAAGGGCTGAACTGGCTTTCAGATGCGCCTTTCGTCTCTTTGAAAGCCGAGGTTCCATCCATTGTTGATCTCGAGGCGCAGTTTGGAAGATTTTGCATGAATTGTTGTCATAGTCATAGTATGTCATAGTCTAGTGGAAGTACTTTGAACAGAATGTCAGAATGACTCAGAGGTATATTTATCCTTGAATTTCAACAATTACTTGCCATTCTTTTTGGCTCAACTTGTTGATTCTAGCGTCATTTCGGAAGATCATTTGACTTCATCAGCCGAACAAGTTTTGCAGTCCTTTTTTTTGTGGCTGACTGTGTCCTTTGCAGGGGTCCGTTCACAGTCTTCGCCACTTATGCTATGACAGCACAGGCAGGGCACCATATTTTGAGAGATTGATTTTGTTGTTTTCGTTGGCTGCTTTGTTGTATGGACATCGTCCAAAACCAGGACATCAGGCCGCGGTACAATGTATTACATCAGACTTGAAACACCCGGCAGATATGGAGCCATAAATGATGTAAGAAGCCAGCAACCTTGTCGGAAGACCATGTTCTGAAGACGTGTGCTTGCGTGGCAAACGAACAGGGAGAGCTTATAATCGAACTAGTGGGCGCTTCTGTGTGCTGCCTTCAGGCTGCTTGGTTGCTGACGCGGGTAACTGTGCCTGAGACCAAAGGCAGAACGTTGGAGGAGAGCGTACAAATTCACGATCACTCAACGTTGGAAAGTGTACCCCGGAGCACACACAGACACGGACACACATCAGTTTTGATTTCTGTGTATAATATATATATATATACACATATATCATATATATATATACTATCCACTAGTGACTTGGGACTTGTGAAGTGACTGTGCAAATTTCAAAGTTCCATTTCATGTGTTTCCAAGTGTGTCCACAACTCCCATCTCATCATGCATCTACCATCAAAATCAAGAACACCAGAGGGCCTATCTCTTTGAAATTATGTATTCCAAAGGGGACACTGGTGAGAGGGGAATTGGGGGCACTCCCCCGCCCCCCCAAAAAAACGTTTTAAATAGTATAACTCCTATCTCATGTGCTTTTTGAATGGTTTCAGTCAACGTTTCGCAGACACATGTGCCAGGACTTGTGCAACAAACAACTTGTCTCATAATTGGCACAACTCCTAACTCACCTGGGGGTAGTATATATACACACAAATCTCTGTGGCCTGGAACTTCCATGCCCAGAGCTGGCAGGAGATCCAAGACGAAGCTTTTCAAGGCCGTCTTTTCAGGCTGAGCTTGCGGATGTCAACTTTGCCTGATGTACATGTTTAGTTTAGACAAAGTCATTTTGCTTCAAGCTTTGATTGGAAGCTTCATGCGTCCATGCGTTGGTTCTATGATGTTCTCAAGCCATCTGATTGTGAATGTGAGTCATTTTGAACAAAATAGTCTTTTCCCAAATTACCCAATGTCAATTGTTTTGAATTCGTGGAGGGTAAAGCCAAGCCTTGTGCCTGGGAGGCGCACATCCATGTTCGAGGCGGGCTCAATCTTGGGCATTCAGCCTGAGCCTGACGCAGCTGGGTGAGGGTCCAAAGAAAGGGGGAATCCCCCGACCTGAGCCTGGCATCGTTTCGGTAGCCCTAAGATGGGGCTTGATAATGTCGCATCAATTTGAGTACGATGAAGCTGGCTCGGTAGCCAAGAGGAAAATGCAAAAAACCATACACAAACTATTGTGAGATATTGTGAGTATATATTGCAGCTTGAGATTTCCCTTTTCACCACACATCACTTCCTTTTCTCTCGCAAAGGGTGAGTTTTGCGGGATTCTTTGCTGCAAGCTTCGTTGCACTCTGTGGCCCAGCGGCCCAAAAGATGCCATCGTCCAAGAGGTAAAACCAGATGGATTGAGAGTCAAATCAGTGCTGGAGTTCTGGGCAGTTTGCAACTTGATGTCCGGCTGCTCTGGTGCTGGAGAACCTGGGAATATCCAATTGACTATTAACTATTGGATGTGGTGGATGTGGTTTGGTCAGCTCAGGCACTCTTTGGGAAGAAGGCGGTATCAAGCGCCTGTACCAGGGAGTGCAGGGACCTTGATGCAAACCCATGAAGCGAACTTTGGAGAGTACAGAGTACAGAGTCTCTAGTAGCGTCCTTGCTCCTAGTAGCGATGCCAGGAGCCGCTAGTAGCGTCCTTGTGACAATGGGTCACACTCCACTGCGGCTCATCTTTTTGTCTGAGGCAGCTTGCGCTTATCCAGGCACCTTTGTCGCGCTTGGGAGACACGGCCCGGCTGCCAATTGTTGCAGTTTGGAGAGACGTGTTTTTTGAAAATTTGACTTCGTTTTTTGTCGTTCCATGGGCGAGCTATTTGTGAACATTTTTCCAAGTCTGGTCAGACAGTACTCTTGACTGTTTTTGACTCCTTTCGTTGCCCAGGCCGCAAACGCCGGAGCCCGGATCCAAAGAGAAACTGAACTCTGAACAGCGAAGTATGTGAAAAGAAGCAGCTTTGTGAGAATGAGGTCCTTGTTTTGATGGATTTCTACCTGCCAGAAGCTCCACTTCCCTTGAAGACCGCTGCGGCCTCTACAGCCACATGACTGCAGACGATATTTTGAGCGAGCTGCCGTGCTGACTAAAAACAGAAATAGCAGGCAACCTTTGAATATTGTTGCACATGACGAAACAGCAGAGAGATGTGCAACATGCAAGCACTGTGCAGCGAGGCTGCTGCTATGTGGAGGCTCTTCCTGTCGCCGATAGATACCTTGAAAACAACTTACCAGGCGCCTTTGCTTCCTCTTTCCTTCATCCATTCATCGTCTGGATACCTCACCGCAGGTGCGAGGAGAAGACGGCCTGCAAGTGCTTTTGAACCGCGTGAAGAAGAACGGTTGGGACTCCCAGGTTCACAGATGTGTAGCGCGTGCGCAGCGCGCCATTTGTGCAAGCCTTCGTATGTCTTTCGCAAACTGTGAGCCGACACATGGTATAAGGACCAGGAGAGCTCTATGCAGGTGCCATTGCAACCTTTGCAGCCAACTGGGTTGGCTGGTGCCCTAACGAGAGCGAATCTGATAGCTAGGCTTTCTGCAGCCTTTGAAGGCTACGATTTCCTGCGTGCAGTGTAACTAGTTAGGAGCTTGACAATTGGGCTGCGGTGGTGGAGAAATCAAGAGTGATGACTCCTAGCAGTCATGACTGGGGATCATTTTTGAGATTTCTTCACCGCCGTGGGCCTTGATTGAAAGCCAGCCAGATAAGCCGAGAATGTTGAATGCATAGTATGTCTTCAAATACGGATTAACAGGTGTTGACATGGTATTGTGTTGCATATGTCTAATGGTTCGTTGCAGTGTTCAGGGGCTTCTGTTGGCCCTTGCTAGCTGTCTAACTTCCTCAAGTTGTTCTTTCTGGTCATCGATTTGAGTCTGTGAGGTGTGGATGCAAAAGCACATTCACAGTTCACATCAACAACAGATTTGAGCAGACAGCCGAAATTGAGTTGAGAGCGAGCCAAGGCAACTATCCTTATTTCGTTGTCTTCAATGCGCTGGATCAAGCATGGCTGGTGTTTTCCTTAAATGCGTTTGACCGGGTCAAGGCACCTTCTATACTGCGGCGCATTCCCGCTTGGGAGAATGACACAGAGAACTCTTCTAAATAGTATCATCCATGTGTTCCTTGACAGGCAGTAACAAGTGCATTACTACTAGTAACAAGAAGCTGTTAGTAACAAGTGCATCGCTATTAGTAACAAGAAGCTCCTTGGCAGGTAGTAGCAAGTGCATTACTACTAGTAACAAGAAGCT